ATTCCCTGAGCATCATCACAACATACTAAATGTGGTTTCCCATCTAGAATAAACTGCATAGTGGCTTAATCATGCATGTGATCATCAATAATATTCCATTTCTAGTTTCATATATATATATATATTTTTTTTTTTTTTACCCCATGTCTGACCCTCTGCCCTTTCCCACCCTCTTATTACACTATCTCTGCTGTTTACAGTTGTCTTCAATTCCTTTTCCCCCAACATTTTGTTGATCACACAATATCGTAGGTAATCTAACTACTTTCAATAGCAAGTTCATCTGGTAATTTCAAGAAAAGCAGTTTTGATATTTTCTTGAAACTGAAAGCTTAGAAACATGTTAGTATTCTGTTCAAATAGTAGGTACATGAACCTATTGACAGCTCAAGACAGGACAAAAATCCTTAAAACCGGACAACAAAGCTTAGAAGAAAAGCAGCAATATTTTAGTCAATACTAATTTAGTCTATACTAATTTTTAAAAAATCATTTATTTTATTTATTCATTCATTTATTTTTAGTTTGACCAGAGAGACACAGAGAAAGAAAGAGGGAAAGTGAGAAAGCAAGCTGCCAGGTCTGAGACTTGAACCATGGTCAGTCATGTGGGAGTGTCCAGCACCTTAACCACCACACCAAATGCTGGTCTATACTAGTTTTTAAAAAGACCCACAAAAACATGGGACCAGCAGGTGGCGTGGTGGTTAAGATGCTGAACACTCCCACATGGCCGACCTTGGCTCAGGTATGGGACCTGGTGGCTTGCTTTCTCACTTTCCCTCTCTCGCTCTCTCTGTGTATCTCTCTCTGGTCAAATTAAAATAAATGAATGAATACAGAAAGTTAAATAAATAATTATTAAAAAAAAGATTTCTTCTTTCAAAGAATTATTTATTTAAAAAAAAAACACAAAAACAAAAGGTAGTGCCTCGCAATGCCTTGCATTTGTGCACAGAATAACAAATTCACTTTCTAAAATAAAAAAATCAGGTAGTGCTAACTTACATCTTTTTTGTTTTGTTTTTATTGTTTTATTGGTTTGTTTTTAAAAGCTAGCTTCAACCTTCCCCACTAAATCTATGAGACCTTCCTTGCTTCCAGAGTTCTCCGCCAGATTATAACGCCAGCAGGCAGTTGACAAGTCCAGCTCCCCAGAAGGGAAGCTGCTGGGGAGGACACACGGGATCTACGCAGTAAAGTCCCAGGCAGGGTAGGTGTTTGCAAACCGTGTCCACACAGGAAGTGCAACCTAGAGAATGTCCATACAGGGTGGGTGCAAGAGAAGCCCTCACTGCCTACAGAACTTGTTCGGGGCAAGGCATATGCGCGCGAGGAGAGCCCACGCGAGGCGAGTGCACGCAAGGATGTCTATGCAAGGAGAAGAAAACGGGGAACGTCCTCATGGGAGAGTGCACACAAGTCGGATTCACTCAGGATAGAAGCTTGCATGCGGGAAGTGTCTACGTAGGCTTCCCCCCCGCCCCTCCGCCTCCATGCTACGTGGGCGTGGCAAGTTTACTGGCAGCTGAGGTCCTAGCAGCTTACATAATCTTTTTTTTAATGGAATCTCTAATACCAAAATTTTGTTTCCCACTAGCATATTATTCACTTATTTGGAAAGTAATAGTTTCATTAATATTTTAGGATACAAAAATCTAGGTCCGCCCGTGGGCAGCCTTTGAAGTCACTGCTGCCAGGACTCGGGCGGAATAGCTCACTGCTGCCAGGACCCCTGTCAGTGGAGCTCACAGCTGCCAGGACCCACCCCGCGCGCGCGTCCCTGGCGCTGGCGCCGTCGCTGTTGTCATGGTTTCCGTCGCCGGCCGACTGTGCGTTCTCTCCGGCCCTACTCCCGCCTCCCGCTCCCTCGTCGGTTCTGCAGCCTGTGGCCCTGACGCTCCCCGCCGTCCCTGCCTAGGCCACTTGTGCCCTGTGCCAGCGCGGGCCCCAGGGGCCGGTGCCGGCCGACTGCAGCCAACGCTTCTGTCGGGCGTGCGTGGTGCGATTCTAGGCGGAGAAGGACCGGTGCTTTCCGTGCCCTGAGTGCGCGGACGACTGTCGGCAGCGCGTGGTGGAACCCCGCCGTCCGCCGTTCAGCCGCCGCCTGCTGGCGCTCGAGAAGGCTGCCGCAGCGTCCGCGCGCAACGGCCAGGCCAGTGAGGCCGGCTGCTGCTCCTTTGCCGCGCAGATGGCGGCCCGCTCTGTGCCGCTTGCCCCAAGGCTGCAGGCCCTGAGCCGCCTGAATGCGAGCCGCGCTGGAGAAAAGCGCTGTGTGGCAAGGTGTGCTGGGCCAGCGAGGAGGTCCTTGTCTCGCTCATCCCGGGGTGTTTGCGGTGCTTTGTATCCTCTCATTTTGGGTCCCCCGAGGTGCCCGGTGTTCGCCCTATCTCGGAGTCCTCGCCTCCAGACCTGGCTTTGTGTCCTCTTCACAGTCGTGGTCCCCACCCCCAACTGAGCCTCGTCCCCATAGGTCCCCGTCGTCCCCTGGTAAACCTCCTCTGGTAAACCGTCGCTGCAGCAGACCTGCCTCCTAAAACCTCAGGCTGTTAAGACTTGGGGTTCTGTTCTGAGGCAAAGACCTTGTCTTGGGAATGAGTTCTTAAGCCCCTTGGCTCCCAGTGCATGTTCTCTGGCCTGCCTTCTTGTCAGCTCTTTGGGCCACCTTGCCCTTGCTTGACTCCTCTCTAGGGTCCTACATCCACCCCATTGTAGATCCTTTTCTGCTGTGCTTTGGGTTACTGCACGTGGCATCTGCCATGTGGCAGAAACCTACCTCCAGTGTCTGGCCATAGCTACACTCACAGGAAGGGGACTCCACTATTTTTGAGAGAGTAGACAGCTGGGTCCTGGAGTATCAGGACAAAGACCTATGGCCCTTGCTCACCAGATGAAAGGGCAGCCAGGTCCCATCTTGGCCCCCACTTGCTGTAAAAAAGACTTAAGACTGGCACGTTTATGTGCACACTTTGTGTCAGTGCAATTACTTGCACATTCTGAGATTGCACATGGGTGCCCCCAACACCAAGAAGGTTAGGGCCACAGTGGTTGTGATCCAACTTGCTCCTGGAGCAGGTTTGTCTAGTGTGCCACTGGGCTGTCTTCCTGTGGTTGAGACTCCTCTCTTGCCAGGTCAGGCAGGGCAGGGCACAGAGAAGGCAGTGCAGGTCCTTGGTACAGACTGAAACCGCATTAAAAGGGCCCCTCTTATAGGCATGAAATTCCCAAACTGGCCTAGACCGCTGCTTTGGCTCCAGTACTCAATTCCTTCTGAAAAGGTGTGAAGCACAGAGAAACCTTTTAATGGGGACCATGTAGCTAACCCCCTCTTTTTTTTTCATAGTGTCTGGCAGGCAAAAATCAAACACTTGGGTGATACTTCTGGAACAGTCAGACTAAGAAAGACTAGGCTGAGCTGGTGGACCTTGGCCTTTAGTGTATGTCCTAATAACCAAGCTCTCTTTCCAGGAGAACAAGGGGTCGGTGGAAATAATGAGAAAGGACTTGAATGATGCTCAGGACCTACATGGCCAGGCAGAGTCTGCAGCTGCTGTGTGGAAGGCAAGTAGCAGTTCTGGCAGCCTGGGGGTATGTGGGGACACAGGGTTCTAGACTAAGGGAGTGGGCCAGCTTAACTTGTTCAGCTTGGTTGCCCAGAGGAGGGCCTTTGAGGAATTGTAAAGAACTCCAGGGCATTTGGCTAGGATGTGTTAGTGTGTATGTCCTGAATAGACTCTAACCAAAACAAATGGGAATCCTTTTTCTCCCCTTTTTTACTTATAGGTGATTTGAAGCATCTAACTTGTTTCTTATCTGAGAGCAGCCAATTACTATTATTTTTAAAAACTTCACTAGAGGGTACATGTATTTCCTGAAAAGAGACAGAAAGAGAGAGGGAAAGTGAGAAAGGACCCCCTCTGGGACTGGTCATACCACATTCCCTTCCTTCATTTCTCCCTCCTTTTGGGATTTTCAGCATACAGGCACACACACCTGTGTTTTTTTTTTTTTTTTTTTTTTTTGAGAGGTTTTTGCTATAGGGCGCGTGTGCTCGCCAGAAAGACAGAGAGAGACAGAGAGACAGAAAGTGAGAAATCACCCCCCAGGGGGGATGGCCATGCCGTAATTCCTTCTCCTCCATTCTCCTCTCAGGATCTTGGGCACGCACGTACACATGCCCAGCATGAGTTTAAGCCACCGGGTCTGGGAATACACCTGATTTTTCTCAAGATGCAAGAGCCCAGGAATAAAGCTGCAATGTCAGCTGTGTGAGTTCTTGCCACCTTAACCACCACACCATGGACTGGCCTGAAAGCAGCCAATTTTTTTTTTTTTTTTTTAAGTTTACTATAGGGTACATGTGCTCACTGGAGAGAAGCAGAGAGGTGGTAAAGAGATAGAGAGGGAAAGTGAGAAATTACCTCAAGGGTGATGGCCACTCTGCAATCTTCTCTCTTCCATTCTCCTCTCAGGATTTTGGGCATGCACACACATGTGCCTAGCATGTTTTTCAAGCTCCCAGGTCCAGGACTCAAACCTCTCAGTCAGCCATGTGGAATCCAGTTGCCTTACCTTCTATGCCACCTGCCGGCTGGGAGCCAGTTATTTACCAGCAGAATCTTCCATGTGCCTAGAGAAGGTACTAAGTGCTTGTTTTAGTTTTAATATCCAGTTTGCTTTCCTCAGTTAATATTGTTTGGAGGGCTAGCCCATGGCTTCGTGTGGTTAAGAGTGTTAAATCTGACCACACAGTTGGAATCCCAACCCTCGTGACTTGAAAAATATACCACATACCAGGCACATGTATGCTTGCCTGTCTGAAATCCCAATGGAGTAGAAGGGATTCCGGCCTGACCATACCTTGTTCGAGAGGTAGGGAGGGTGTCTTTCTCCCTCTTCATCTTTTTTTCTGTCTTACTCATGTTCTCTGGCAATTTTAAAAAAGGTATTTTTAACAATAATGATTGGATAAAGGAAGAACTTTAATTGTTACTGAACTGTAATGGGCCAAATTAGTACTGAAAACTTGATATGACAGTATTGAAGTATCAGAATTCTAAAGGTGCAGCTTTACTGTCCACGTTCAGAAGAGATTGTACATTTTGATACAGCTCCATGCAGCTGAGCACTTTAGTGTAGGAGAGACAAAACTGTCTCTGCCCTTTTATGGTCCCAAGCTGGGCCTGAAAATAAAATTGACATAAGATAGATTAACAGGAAAAAGCATACAGATTTATTTAATACAAATTTTACACATGGTAGTAAAGTAGTTAAAATTTGACCTGAGAGTCTTCATAAGGAAATGAAGACCCTAAGTAGCAGAATCAAATCACTTATGTACTGAATTGGAAAAAGAACAGTAAGTAGTGACAAAACAACTCCATAGGCAGGCTTAAAAAATCAGTTATTTTGGGAACCAGCAGTTAGTGTAATTGCTATGTTGCTGGACTCCCATGTAGTCGACCGAGGTTCGCGTCCCAGACCTGGTGGCTTAAAACTCACGCCGGGCGCGTGTGCCTATGTGCCCAAGATCCCGAGAGGAGAATGGAGGAGAAGGGATTGCAGCGTGACCATCCCCCCTGGGGGGTGATTTCTCGCTTTCTGTCTCTCTGTCTCTGTCTGGCTGGCGAGTGCACGCGCCCTATAGCAAAAAAACCTCTCTCAAAAAAAAAAAAAATCAGTTATTTTAACAAGGTCTGGACGGATTCTCTTGGCCTTGACTTCCTGTCCTTGATGATAAGAACATCATTCTTTTTGGTACAGGGAGGGCATCTTTCACATGAGAATTTCATTTACTTTTTTTTTTTTAAAGAATTATTTAACTTTATTATTATCATTATTATTTTCCAGTTTTATCAGAGAGAGACAGAGAGAGAGAGAGAGGAAGTGAGAAAACAAGCCACCAGGTCCGAGACTTGAACCGTGGTCGGCCATGTGGGAGTCCAGCGCCTTTAACCACCACGTCACTTGCCGGCCCCTGAGAATTTCATTTACTTTTAAGAAACAGAGTGAAAAAGTCAAGGTGATCTTTTTGCACCTGCTGTTTTTTTAATTGCCACTCATTCAAAATTGTCATTGTGCTAAAGCAGTATATTTCAGGATGGCATATTTGTAACTTCTCAAGAGTAAACAGGTTTCTCTTCTCCCAGGGATGGTGCAGCACTCCTGGGGAGATTGGGCCGAGGTGCGCATTGTGGGCCCGTGGACACATGTTCTTTCTGTTGCCTGCCCCCCTTCTAGGGACATGTGATGGACACAGAAAGAAAGCCCTGACTGACTACAAGAAGATGCAAGCCTTCTTCACTGAAGAGGAGTATTTCCTAGAGGAAGCTGAGAGTCAAGCAGTTCCATTCCCTGCTGCAGGCAGTGTCAGAGCTGGAGAAGAAGCACTGCGACCTAGGCCTCAGCATGCTGCTACAGGTACAGGGCCCAGTTTCTTGCCCATGGGGCTCCAACATGTGCCCTATGGGATGGGGGGGGGTGATGGGGAGGATGGGGAGGAATGAGAGGCTTGTTTACTTGCTGGCATTTCTCTGTTGCCAGATCAGAGTATAGATGCCAGAAACAGCAGGGAGCCCATTGGAGGGGTAATTCATCAAAAGAGAGGCTTAAAGTCACAGCTGACTTCTGTTTCCATGGCTTTCTGAGGCTGAATTTCAGGAATTGATGGGTGATCAAGGAAGACGGTATGAAGGAATTTTAAGCTGAGCAGGGTATGAGCGTTCCTGGCCTTCACATAAGGGAGTTTGCACCCTGAATGCCAGAGCACTAAGGGTCCCCACCCCACTCAGGTTTTGAGGGCATGAGTGACCAGGACACCCCTCGGTATCTGACTCTTATTCTCAGTATTTCCCTCTCATCCTTTGCTCAGAGGCGTACCCTAAACCTAAAGCTCTGCATTGACCTACTCTGGGCTTTTTGTGCCATCTCTAATGCTGGAACCAGCAGCTCCTGGTCTAAGAGGTGTTCTTTAGCTCTAGCAGCACTCATTGGTCAGCCTGAGCAGTTCAGTTGTTTGCGGCAACTATGGGCAACAAAGTTTTGGCCTTGGGGAGACAGGTCTGGGGCTTGGTATAGATGGGGTCATCAGATCACCTGGGTTCCAGGTTTGTTGTGCCCAGAACAGTTGATGAGTCTCTCTCTATTCCCTCACTTTTCACTTTTTCATTTTCCTCTTTTCATGTCTCTGTCTCTGCTCGTATGTGTCTTTGTGATTATCTTTCTGTATTTCTACCTCTGTCTCTATCCCTGTCTATTTGCCTGTCTGTGTCTCTTTCACTCTGCTTCTCTTGTCTCTCTCTCTTTGGCTCTGTCTCTCTTTCTCTCTCTTTCCCATGCAGTGATGGCACTGGCTCAATGTACAGCCTCCCTGGAGTTCAAAGCAGAAGGTCCCCCTTCGGCAGCAGCACTCCCAACACACACTGCACCCGAGGAAGAAGCCTCAGCTCTGTGGGAAAAGTGGCGAAGATACTGGGTGACGGGAAGCATTACAGAGTAGCTATGTCACCTTTGGTTGTTCCAGATAGTAACATGTTTCAACAAAGTGCTTGTTTTCACTTTTCCTTGAGTCAAATCGTTTGTGGCTATAAACATTTCATTGATGATAATCACTGGGGGGATCTTCTCCCACAAGTATACGATGATTCTTCATAAGGTCCTTGTCATGGCTCATTGTTTCATCAGAGACTCGCCTAGAGGGCAGTGTTGACACAAGTTATGGAGGGTAAGGGGAAGAAATACATGGGGCGGGTGGAAGGGAAGGGATGACAAAGGTGGTCTTGTAATGTAGATAAAATCTCTTAGGAAATAATTTGGAACAGTCATCAGAATATGTGGTAGTCTCTGACAAATTCTAACCCTAACCCTGTTTCCTTCCTTGTCATACAAATTAATCTCTGGCTGATAAGACTCCCTGGAAGGGGATACATGACAGTTGTGTTCCTTTTTGTCAAATCTATGTTTAGTCAGGTAAAGGAACTTCAGCCCCTTCCTATGCTTTAGGGGAGAAAGATGGGTGAGAGACCTCGATTCTCCTTTAATTAAAAGCACTCAGAACACCAAAGCACCATATTTTGGTGTATTATGGTCTGAGTCCCAACAGATACATAAATGAAGTACTTTATTTCATAACAGGAATCTTACCAATTTGGAGAGAGAATTTAAATGAAACAAAGACTTACATTTTCCTGGACTCGGAGTTTTTATTAAATCTCCATTCTGGAGAGGGATGTGTGAGCGAGTCACTTTGATTTGACAAATACATCATCTACGTGGAAAACCACTGAGAAATGAAAAATGTCATGTAAAACACTGTCATCGATACAGTACAGGCTAAAGTCCACCAGTTGGGACTACATTCTCACAAGTCTAATAATCGCTAAAGCCTTTTCTTTTTTTTTTTAATTAAAAAGTTTTTATACAAAACATTTGCTATGGTTTGAATGTCCCCCCCAAATTTATGTAAGGAGATGAGAATCAAAGTCATTAGGGTTGTTTATAAGGAGAGAATCCTGAAGTGTTTATAGAAAATCCTGGTGGATTTTTAAGGAGAGAAAACACAGGCATAGGTGCACTTGCTCCTGCCCTCTACCACAATGTAATGCAGGGAGAAATCCTTCACCAAATGTGGTCCCTGACCCTTTGACTTCCAAACTGTAAGTAAACTTCTATTTTTTCTTTCTTTTTTTTAATCGTGTGCTCGTCGAGAGAGACAGAAGAGAGAGAGAGTGAGATGGACTCGATGCCGCAATCCTCCAGCCTCCATAGGTTTTTGCCATAGGGCGGGCACCACCACGCCCCAGTAAACCTCTATTTTTATAAACTACCCAGACTCAGGTAGTTTCTATTATTAACAACAGAACAGTAGAACAACACTTTTGTACAAATAAGAAATGACAGATTTTAAAACAAAAAAAAAAACCTAGCCAAACAGGTTGGCAATAGCTATATGGATTTTTCATGTTTTCTGTTTGACATATCAAGCCTATCCTCTTGTTTTCAGTTCCACACCTTAGATCAGCTTCTGAATGCATACTGTGACTAAGAATGATTTTTTCTTTTTTCTTTTTTTTTTTGCAGTGTTTTTTTTTTTTCTATAGGGTGCGTGCACTTGCCCAAAAGACAGAGAGAGACAGAAAGACAGAAAACCAGAAATCACCCCCCCGGGGGATGGCCGTGCCACAATCCCTTCTCCTCCAGTCTCCTCTCAGGATCTTGGGCACACATGCACACGCACCCAGCATGAGTTTAAGCCACTGGGTCCAGGACTCAAACCGTGGTCAGCTATTGGGCAATCCAGTGAGATAGCCATTACGCCAACTGCTGGTCCCCTAAGAATGGTTTCTTTCTTTGCACAGGCAAATTCTCTTGGTTACCTCTGCAAAATTCCTTTTTTTTTTTTTAACTGTAAAGATTGACATTCTCATAGTTAGACTTTGGAATGCCAGTCTTTGACCTCCTCAAACTGAGCAGGTCTAAGGCATGTTCTCCATCATTTGCTGGAGGTGACCTTCTCCTTACTAGGTTACCTTGTCTCTTGGGCCAGCCAAATGCTGGGGCAAGAGAGTTCTAGAGCTCAGTGCCCACCCTGGGTTCATGGATGCCTGGTGACCTATGTGCCTAGCCATCTCCCAGGTCAAGAGGAATAGGAATGGTGATGGTTTCTCTTGGGCAAATTAGGATCTTCTTTTTTTTTTTTTTTGGAGAGATTTTCATTATAGGGCACGTGCGCTCGCCAGACAGACAGAGAGAAACATAGAGACATAAAGCGAGAAATCACCCCCAGGGGGGATGGTCACGCCACAATCCCTTCTCCTCCAGTCTCCTCTCGGGATCTTGGGCACGCACACACACGCGCCCAGCGTGAGTTTTAAGCCACCGGGTCTGGGATGCGAACCGCGGTCGACTACGGGGGAGTCCAGCGACATAGCCATTATGCTAACTGCTGGTTCCCGGCAAATTAGGATCTTCTTTTTTTTTTTTTGGAGAGATTTTCATTATAGGGCACGTGCGCTCGCCAGACAGACAGAGAGAAACATAGAGACATAAAGCGAGAAATCACCCCCAGGGGGGATGGTCACGCCACAATCCCTTCTCCTCCAGTCTCCTCTCGGGATCTTGGGCACGCACACACACGCGCCCAGCGTGAGTTTTAAGCCACCGGGTCTGGGATGCGAACCGCGGTCGACTACGGGGGAGTCCAGCGACATAGCCATTATGCTAACTGCTGGTTCCCGGCAAATTAGGATCTTCTTTTTTTTTTTTTGGAGAGATTTTCATTATAGGGCACGTGCGCTCGCCAGACAGACAGAGAGAAACATAGAGACATAAAGCGAGAAATCACCCCCAGGGGGGATGGTCACGCCACAATCCCTTCTCCTCCAGTCTCCTCTCGGGATCTTGGGCACGCACACACACGCGCCCAGCGTGAGTTTTAAGCCACCGGGTCTGGGATGCGAACCGCGGTCGACTACGGGGGAGTCCAGCGACATAGCCATTATGCTAACTGCTGGTTCCCGGCAAATTAGGATCTTCTGAGAAAGGCCAACTTGTCTTGGGCTCCAGGTTTTTATAGGGGCAAGGTGGGCTGAGCCCAACACCTATCCTCAAACCTACTAAGGCCGTCTGGCCCGGGCCCAAGGCAACACCACATGGCTTTACGTCCATCGTTACTCAGGGCCACCACTCTTGCAGGAAACGAAGGCTTGATAAAGTCTAAAGCATGAACCTAAACCCCAAATATGCCACTGGGTATATATATTGCTTACTTTCAGCTGAGGGCACCTGGAAAACAGTAAATGCAGGGGGACTTTTCTGTGAACTTCTCTGCCTAAAGGCACTTGTTTCAAAATGGACTAAATTGTCATCAGTCCCCTCCCAGGGAAATTTGTCAACCAGAGAGAGTTTTGTCAGCTTATCACAGGAGAAGAGACTAGAAGTCAATGTTGAACCCAAATGTTGTCACAAACTATCACCCATCTATTCTCCTAAGGGCCTCTTTAGCTTTCCTAAACATCCTTTCCTCTCCCCTGTATTGCCCACCTCCCTCCTCCTCTCTCTGAAGATGGCATATAAGATCTTTAACTACCCCCTTTTGGGGAGGGGATATTCACTTTTCCCCCAAAGACCCCCTTTTTTCTTGTCAATCTGCCTGTTAATTTACTTCATTGACCCAGTCACCCAGTCACCCAGTCTCAGAGGGTACAGAGAAAAAAGCCCGTCCCCTAAAAAGCTGAGCTGAAAGGCCCATTCCTCTGCTTTCCAACAAGCAGGGACGACAGGACAATTTTCGGGCACCTGGGGAAGCTATTGGTCCGAGGGGTGATCGGAGGCCATCATCAGTAAGCAAAGGCGGGAGAACCAAGCAAACGGAGGACGACAGTTCTATGCTCAGATTGTTGGACCGTATGCAAACGAAGTGACTTTCTAGGTCTCGTTTGATTGGACAAATTGCTCCCTAGCATAGCCAATGGGACTTCCAGGCTGCAAATCACCCTTAGCTCATTGGTGTTCGTAGCATCCTGGGCAATAGCTCCGGCGGCGCTCATTCCCACTGTATAGAAACTGCGGCTCCCAGCTGCCGCAGTCTCCAGATCCCTGTCTTCTCCCTGTCCTTCCCTGACAGTCATGGCGGCCAGGGGCGCGCCAAGGATAAGGCGTAGTTGCTCTCTAGGCAGTGGTGGCGCCCACGACTGCAGTTGCCCGTGACCGGGTTACAGTGGCTGTTCAGAAATGACAACTACTCGTAGCGTTTGGGCGCCAGCGCACCCGTCTGCCTAGCGGCGAGGTTCAAGTTACTGATCGCTGTTTCTGGAATTGGCGAGCAGCACGGCGCGCAACAAGGACAAGCGCCACCTGCTGCTGGCCATCCGCAACTACGAAGAACTCAAGAAATGGCCGAGCCGGGCAATTCCTTCCCAATTTCCAATCCAGGTTGTACTACTTCCCAAGACAGAACAACCACAAGGCCCAGAGCTAGTGAGTCTCTGACGTCCAGGGGACCTTTGGTGCCCCCTAAAGGCTCTTTTCAGAGCCACTCAAGGCCTTCGCCCGGTGAAGCTCTTAAGGTACCCGCTATCGCTGGTCCTTCATCTGGTTGCAGGTCGGCCTGTAATAGAGAGGGCGGGTGTAGTTTAGGGCTGGCATAGGAAGCCTATTTTGTATTTGGAGGCAAGTCACACATTCTCATTCAGCTTAACCACTGACAAAACTGGTATCTCAAATCTACTTGAGAGACATAGCGATTAAAAATTTTGATATACATAATATGTGTACACATATAAATTGTGAAATATATAAAGTATAAATATATAAAATTAAATATATAAATAGAACATTTATACATTATATATTGTGTGCACGTGTGTGTGTGTGTGTGTGTGTGTGTAGTGGATCATGACCACTATTTTAAACAGAAAACAAAATATACTAAACAAAATGATGCTGTACGAACTCTCTTGCACATATTGGATTGAAATGACTTCCTTAATTTGTGAGAGCTCTGCAGGACCACTGTAGTCCCAGAGCTCTGGGGCTGAGGCTCAGACTCCTGTTGTGTGGCTTCTAGCCTTATACCACCTTTCCTCTCCTCCCTATGCTCAATGGCTCCCCCCACCAGTTCCCCTTGCTGAGAACCACCTGGATACACTTCTCAGCCCCACAGTTGGCTTTTGTCACTGTTTTATTAACTGGGTGGCT